GGTCAAGGGCACATGCCCTGGTTGTGGGCTCAATCCCCACTAGGGGGCGTGCAGGAGGCAGCCAGTCAATGATTCCCTCTCATCATTTATATTTCTTTCTCTCTCTCTCTCTCTCTCTCTCCCTGGCCCTTCCTCTCTGAAATCAATAAAAATATATTTTGAAAAAGAAAATCCTCATATAAAGACAGATTTGTCTTTCTGTATCTGGCTTATTTCACTTAGCATAATGTCTTCAAGGTTCATTTATCTGTTGATGGACACTTGGGTTGTTTCTACCTTTTTTGGCTATTGTGAATAAAGCTGCTGTAAATGTGGGTGTACAGATTATCTTTCCTAGACCCTAGTGGAAAGTCCAAGATTAAGGTGTCTGATAAGGACCCACTTCCTGGTTCATAGACAGCTGTCTTCTAGCTGTGTCATCCATAAGGCAAGGGAGCTTTCTGGCATTTCGTTTATAATCTCATTCGTGAGGACTCTTCCCTCATGACCACTCAAAGGGCCCGCCTCCAGATACATCACATTGAGGATTGATTACATTTCAATATATGCATTTTAGGGGGACACAAAACATTAAGTCTATAGCACAGTGATAATACATGCATACTAGTATAATTTAAAAGTAATGTTAAGATGAATTTGAGAATTAGTTCTCTCATCTTCTCTAGCTAGGCCTTTTACATTTTATTGATTGATTTTTTAAAAATATATATTTTATTGGTTTTTTACAGAGAGGAAGGGAGAGGGATAGAGAGTTAGAAACATCGATGAGAGAGAAACATCGATCAATCGATCAGCTGCCTCCTGCACACTCCCCACTGGGGATGTGCCCGCAACCAAGGTACATGCCCTTGACTGGAATCAAACCTGGGACCCCTGAGTCCGCAGGCTGATGCTCTATCCACTGAGCCAAACCGGTTAGGGCTTGATTAATTTTTTTAGAGAGATAGAAAGGAGAGAGAGAGAGAGAGAGAGAGAGAGAGAGAGAGAGAGAGAGAGAGAGAGAGAGAGAGAGAGAGAGAGAGAGAGAGAGAGAGAGAGAGAGAGAGAGAGAGAGATTAATTTGTCCCACTTATTTATACATTCATTGGTTGCTTCTTGTATGTGCCCTGGCCGGGGATTGAACCCGTAGCCTTGGTGTATCAGAACAACACTCTAACCAGCTGAGCTACCCAGCCAGGTCTAGCTAGGCCTTTTTGTTCAATACTTAGAAGAAAAGAAAATGTGTAATTCCTTTCCAAACCATCTTCACATTTTAAAAATTGATTTGTAAAGGTTAAGATAAATTTATGTATCGTGGATCCAAATGGTTGATCCAGTGAGTGTTTGTGAATGTATTTATAACCATAGGAGATTGACATAAGAGGAGGGGGAAATAATCAAGGCTTTATTAGTACAGATCCACTGATTGTCTAGGTCAGAAGGGGTTGTGTGATACATGATTTAGTAAGACAAGGCCTAAGAGCCTTGACTCAGATGACCTGTGTATTCTGAGTCATCTTTTCCAGACCATCTCAATGGTTATTGTGTTATGATATGATACATCTCTGGGTTTGAGGTAGGAAATGAAGGAGGAGGTATCCTTAATTTATTTGTCCTGACGCATCTAGGAGCCCACCATTAGGAACAAACGTGGAAGTCCTGCTGTGTTGCAGAACATACTGTTAGGCCCCTGAGGTATAAAGAAATTTAAGACAGCCTTTGCTTTCATGTTGGTTTATAGTCTAGTTAAGACCTAGGACTCCTTTTTCCCCCATGGAATATTGGATAACAATACAAGATAGCATATGCTGAGTGCCAAAATTATTGATAGAGGCAATAATATTGAGTTCAGAGGGGGAAGTGATCATAGAACATTAGTGTGATTGAGAAAGATCTCTGGGAGGTGAGACTAATTGGACCTTAAGGAAAGCGTGTAACAGACAAATGAGATGGAGGAAAGTGGAAGAAGAAAAAGTATTAGAAGGAGGGGTAGGAGGAAAGGCTCTGAGACAAGCATGCTTACTATGCTGGGCTGGGGTGGTCAGTGTCAAGAGTGTCTTTTGGGGATTAGTTATGAGAGGTAAGAGATTAGGTTATCGAGATGGGTAGGAATGGTGTTGAATGCTTTAAATTTCCAGTAAGTTGTAGGGAATTAATCTTATATTCAGTAGAATCTACTGAAGTTTGTAGCAATAAAATGTTATATTAGTAAGATTAATTTGGCAGCTGGATGTATGTAGGTTGGATTATAGGGGCAGAGAGTAGAGATAGAGGAGTGAAACTATTAAGAGTAAAGTAATTTAGCTATCACGAACAAGTGTGGGGGAGGATGTGGAGAAAAAGGAACCCTTGTGTACAGCTGGTGGGAATGCAGACTGGTGCAGCCACTGTGGAAGACAGTATGGAGTTTCCTCAAAAAGTTAAAAATGGAACTCCCATTTGACCCAGTAATCCCACTTCTAGGACTATATCCCAAGAAACCAGAAACACCAATCAGAAAGGATATATGCACCCCCATGTTCATAGCAGCACAATTTACAATAGCTAAGATTTGGAAACAGCCTAACTGCCCATCAGCAGGTGAGTGGATTAAAAATCCGGGACATCTATACAATGGAATACTACACCACTATAAAAAAGAAGCAACTCTTACCATTTGCAACAGCATGGATGGAATTGGAGAGCATTATGCTAAGCGAAATAAGCCAGTTGGAGAAAGATAAATATCACATGATCTCACTCATATGTGGGCTTTAATGATCAACATAAACTGATGAACAAGAATAGACCCAGAGACAAATGGCAGGGGAAGGGGGATAAGAGAGCAACCAAAGGACTTGCATGCATGCATATTAGCATAACCAATGGACACAGACACTGGGGCAGTGGGGGCTTGCCTGGGGTGGGAATGGCTGAGGGGGCGGGCGGTGTCAATGGGGAAAAAGGAGACATGTAACACTTTAGACAATAAATTAAAAAAAAAAAAACCTAAAGTAATTTAGGAACAGAGTTACCAAGGAAAACTCAGCAGGACTCAGTGATGGAAAGTGGAAGACCACCAGGAAATCAAGGAGGACTTTAATTAGGTGTTGCCTGGGAGAGTACAGATTTCATTACGTATAGGGGAAGCTCTAGATTTTTTTAGAGACTTAAGATATGTTGAGTTCCGGTTTACATATGTTAAGTTTGTGGTGGAGAAGGGACATCTAATATTAACAGGCATTAGGAATTATAGAACTAAAGTTCTTCATAGAACCCAAGAGCACTTTCAAGAAAGCTGGTGTGGTTTATACTCCTTATAAACAAAGGCTGGAGCGAATGAAAACTGCAAAACAGCTCTTTGGGTTGCTGTTAAGGTTATTGTCTGCTCTGAAGTAAAATGTTGGAGGAGACGAATCTGAAGATTAGGAGTTTAAGATGAATGTTGATCTAGAAAGAGGAGAAATACTGTTTTTGAGGCAAAGCAAAGGGGAGAGATTCGATATAGCTGGAGAAGTTTTGAGGTAGAATAGGGAAGATGTGGTTAATATAATTAAGAGTCAATGGAGAATACAGAAAAAAAGATAAATGGTAGTGACCACAATCAACATAATTTCATGGCATCTTATGACTACAATACTTAGTGCCTCTGATTCAAGGGTAAAGAAAGCAGTTGGTTAGGTTATACAAGGTTGGATGAGGTTTTCTAGCTTGCTAAGAGACAGTGTTGAAGTACTTAGCTTTGGCTCAAAAAGGGACAGAGAGAAATAAAGGCAAGGGTAAAGGTAGGGAGGCTGTGATCAAAGGTGTCAAGGTGGAAATTTAAGTGCTTAGAGAAGGTGGAACAGTTCCAAGTGATAATACAGATTCAAGCCTCCTGGGAAGTAGAGGAGAAGGTAATGTGGAGTAGTTCTAGGAACTGAGACCTCAAGGTATAAGATAAATCTTTATGGTGTGCATTCCTTTTTGAGAATAAGGATAGAGAAGAAAGATGTGAGCCAGGTGCTAAATAATTCCAATTTATAGTTCTGTGATGATATGGGCAAGATTGATATTCTTATTTCATTTTATAAATGATGAAATTAAGGTAGGAGATAGCTGGCCAGAGATCATGTAGTATATATGGTAGCATGACTACTTGAAGTTCACTGGTTCATGGAATGGATCTGGAAGTGACTGAAAAGATCCTTTATTCTGGTTCTTCCCATAGTTGCCACAAATCCAAAAAGGTCAGGTCTAGAGTTCCAACAGCCAAGCATTCTGCCATCTGGATGACTGATACCTCCTAGGCTTGAGGCTGCTAGACTGCAGAGGTAGTGACCTGATTCATCTCTCTTCTTCCTTTCTCCATTTCCTGTACTTATTTTCTTAGTTTATCATTCCATCTTCCTTTCTTATTTCTAGGCCCTGTAGGTCAGCTAGGGAAGAGTTAAAAAATTAGTAAGATTAAGGTGTGAACATGATCCTCATGACTTGAGGAAGAATATCCTTTGGCCTTGAGAAATGCTAATTATTCTCTTCTTTTTCCTAGGATGCTCACAATTGTATTCCTGAGCTGGACAGTGAGACAGCTATGTTTTCTGTCTATGATGGACATGGAGGTAACTTTAACAGATCATATTGATAACATCCTAATACTCTAATTCCAGACTTTATAGGGCAAGAACAGGTCCTTTGTTCTTTTACTTTCCAAAGTTCTGGTCCTTCGATATCATTTCCTGCCTCATGCTGTTTTTCTCTATTCTGCCATTCTTCCGTCCTAATAGGATATTGTATTGTTTCATAATCTCTTCCAGGCCTTCTTTTAATCCAGAAAAGAATCTTACTACATTAGCTTTTTTCCCCTTTCACTGAAAACTAAGTATGCAAGTGAAAAAACAAGGGATATATTAATATAGCCCCAAGAGATGTGATTGGGAAGTCCATTTTCTGAGTCAAAACTTCCCAAAGGTTGTCTTTCAAATAGGTTTGAGTTGTGCTAAGATATTTATCTCCTCAACGCTTGGAGTTTATTCCAGTATGACATATAGATATTATGTTACTTTCTATGTGTGGGAAGCAGTGCTCTGGGTGACCTTACCTTTCTTCTAGGGGAGGAAGTTGCCTTGTATTGTGCCAAATATCTTCCTGATATCATCAAAGATCAGAAGGCTTACAAAGAAGGCAAGCTACAGAAGGTCTGTCTTCCCACAATGTTCATTCTTCCCTTCTGTAGGCTTTCCCCTGTTTTCTGATCCTTAGCTTTTTCTTTCTCATTGCCACCTAACTTCTTAAAGAATTTGTTGCCTAAAATGAGTTTATTCCGTGCTCGCTTTGGCAGTACATATACCAAAGTTGGAATGATACAGAGAAGACTAGGATGGCCCCTGCAAAGGATGACACATAAATTCGTGAAGCGTTCCATATTTAAAAATAAAATAAGCTTATTCCCACTTAAGTCTTTTTAGAGCTGCCTTATCATCCCCAGGTCTCTGAACTGTTTTTCATGTATATACGAGTGTCTCCTAGTGTGGTGGATCACATTCTAATTTGCACCCCATCCTTGTGACTAGGATTCTGTCTAGGCAATTTATTTTATACCTGCTGTACTTTTCCCTATACTTGCCTCATACTGTTCTGCTTATATTCAGGCTTTGGAAGATGCCTTCTTGGCTATTGATGCCAAACTGACCACTGAGGAAGTCATTAAGGAGCTGGCACAGATTGCAGGGCGACCCACTGAGGATGAAGATGAAAAAGAAAAAGTGGCTGATGAAGATGATGGTAAGTGTGGCATCTCATGTTTGAGAGGAAATCAGCATTTTAAAATATTATTATTTAGTATATGTTATTTCTGTATCAATTCTAAGAGAGAATGACTTCCTACGCACTTAGAGAGTCCTCAAATTAAAGAACCCTATGTTCTCCTGCATTGCATGTGATTATGAAAAGGAGAAATAGAATTAACCTTTGTTGAGTGCCTAGTGTCTTAGTTGTAAGCATTTTTATGTGCATTATTTTTTGTCATTGTGATGGGGTCTTTCTGGTTCCTATTAATATTTATGTGACTGTTTTTCAAGACCGGAGCTGTCATTAGCCCCAGCAGCCAGTCATTAAGCCTTGGTCATAGGCCTAGACTGGCACTGTGGGCTTCCTCGGTCCTCAGTCAGAATAGGGTTTCCAACTTACCAATAAAAAATGAGATGATAAGGAAAATGTAACTAGTGATCCTTTGACTAAGAAGGGGGTGAAAGACAAAGACCAAAGGAAGGCTATGGAGGCAGATGTTACTTGAGAAGGAAACAAAGGGGTGTTTTTCTGAGACTTGGTAAGTGAGAGGACCCTTAGGAGTAGGGAGTGGTGGGGAAGTTGGAACTCAGGCTGCAAGGGCAGTGGATATAGTAAGAGTGACCAATCCCATGAGGAATCTGGCATGGGGGCGCTGATTTAGCCTCTTACCTGCAGTGGACAATGAGGAGGCTGCACTGCTGCATGAAGAGGCTACCATGACTATTGAAGAGCTGCTGACACGCTACGGGCAGAACTGTCACAAGGGTGCTCCCCACAGCAAATCTGGAGCTGGGACAGGCGAGGAACCAGGGTCCCAGGGCCTCAATGGGGAGGCAGGATCTGAGGACCCATCTAGGGAATCTTCTTCAGAGGAAAATGGTCCCACAGCCAAGGTCCACACAGGCCTTTCCTCCAACTCGGAACGTACAGAGGCAGGCCAAGGTGGTGAGCCTGGCATTCCCACTGGTGAGGCTGGGCCTTCCTGCTCTTCAGCCTCCGACAAGCTGCCTCGAGTTGCTAAGTCCAAGTTCTTTGAGGACAGTGAGGATGAGTCAGATGAGGCGGAGGAGGAAGAGGAAGACAGCGAGGTAAGGGCCTGTAGGGGCTGATAGACGCTGAAATTGCAGAGGGGCCTGTTTGGTTGCCATTCATAGCTGTTTGACTCTTCTATTTTGACATCATCCCCAAAGACCCACTATATGCTAAGCTTTTCTTGGGTTCATTATCTCCACCAACACATGTACCATTAGCCCTCTTACCTCTTTCTTTGTTGATACACTAACAAATAGATTTAGTTGTGGCCTTGAAAGAGTCTGTCTCCTAGAGAGAGAATAGGAAGATGGTGGTTATTACTTTGGATATTTGGGTATTTCCTTTTCTGGGCAACTTACTTTCTGGTCATGTTGCCTAGAAGGTGCTTTAGGCTGATTGCCTTGGCCTTCCCCTGGTGAGCCCAGTTCAGGATATCAGTTATTCCAATGCTGGCCCTCTCCCTTCCCCCATATTTCTCACCGTGATCATATAGTTGCATCTTTTAGTGTTTTGAGCACCTGTGTACAGCAGGGCCTCTTTGTTTTGAATAGGAGTTGGGGGAGTGGGGCAGGAGGTTATTCCAGTCTCAGTTGCCTGGGATCATCCCTCTGGCAGGATTGCAGTGAGGAAGAAGATGGCTACAGCAGTGAAGAGGCAGAAAATGAAGAAGATGAGGATGACACCGAGGAGGCTGAAGAGGATGAGGAAGAAGAGGAGGAGATGATGGTCCCTGGGATGGAAGGCAAAGAGGAGGTCTGTGGGAATGGGGAGCAGTGGGTTTAGAAGAATCAAGAGGCAGTTGTGAATCCCCTGATTTGATTTTGGGAGAGGGGATCCCCTTGCTCTTTTAGTATTGAAGTCATGGTCATGGGGGGGATTTTTTTCTGCAAAGGGAATGAGGTCTTTTGGGTAGAATTGTCTCAGAAAATAGAGGGAGCATGCCATAGTCCCTGGGAATATAAAATTTGTGATCCTCCTTTTTGTTAAAGCTATCTTGGTGGTCGTAGTGAGATGAGAAAGCATAGGTGAATGGTCAGGGGAACTCGTGTCCAGAAGCTTCCATGATGCTTTCTTTCTCCTTTTTAAGCCTGGCTCTGACAGTGGTACAACAGCTGTAGTGGCTCTGATACGAGGGAAGCAGTTGATTGTAGCCAATGCAGGAGACTCTCGCTGTGTGGTGTCTGAGGCTGGCAAAGCTTTAGACATGTCCTATGACCACAAGCCGGAGGACGAAGTGGAGCTAGCACGCATCAAGAATGCTGGTGGCAAGGTTACCATGGATGGTCGAGTCAACGGGGGCCTCAACCTCTCCAGGGCCATTGGTAAGAACTAGGGGACTATGTATGGAAAAGACTTTTGGGGTCTTTTTCTCTGTTTCAGACTATGTAGTAGCAAGTTTTAATTTTCATAGCCCTTGTACCTTTGCAAATATTTTTGTATCTACCACCAGTAACCGTAAATGTCTCTGTGAGATAGGTAATATGGGTATCATTTCTAGATGATGAAAAAAAACAGGTTAGTGAAGTACTTATGATTCATCCTAAAGTCAGGGTTGAAACTAGAACTCAGTTCGCTTGTCCATTAGATTATGGAAAGGAAGGAAATGAATGGCAAGGCTTCAAACACAAGTCTGTGAGAAGTACCGAAACTATTTGTTAACCAACTATTCCTTTACTTCAGGAGATCACTTCTATAAGAGAAACAAGAACTTGCCACCTGAGGAACAGATGATATCAGCCCTTCCTGACATCAAGATGCTGACTCTCACAGATGACCATGAATTCATGGTCATTGCCTGTGATGGCATCTGGTGAGCACTGGCAGAATGCCTTAAAGTTCCTTTTTCTGCAGCATTACTTCTCATGTAGTGCTCTGAGCTCCTTTGGCTTTATTTTTATTATTTTTTAAAATACATATTTCTATTGATTTTATTATATTTTTACTGATTTCAGAGAGAAAGGGAGAGTGAATGAGAGATAGAAACATCAATGATGAGAGAGAATCATTGATTGGCTGCCTCCTGAATGCCCCCCCTACTGGGGATTGAGACCACAACCTGGGCATGTGCCCTTGACTGGATTCGAATCTGGGACCCTTCAGTTTGATGCTCTATCCACAGAGCAGACCGGCTAGGGCCTGCTTTGGTTTTATATCATCCATTGAATGGCTGCATTCAGTACCTTTTCTCAAGCTGCTCTAGGATTAGAGTTTAGGTAGACAGCTTGGTATCAAGACGCCTAAGCCTAAGGCAGAGCTGAGGACAATCTCTGTGTTTACATTGTCCCAAACTGTCACCTCTATCCATACTCCTCCATTCTGCTTTCTGTGGGACTAAAGAAGATTCTGACTATTGTTTCTGATCCCAGGAATGTGATGAGCAGCCAGGAAGTTATAGACTTTATTCAGTCAAAGATTAGCCAGCGTGATGAAAATGGGGAGCTTCGGTTATTGTCATCCATCGTGGAAGAGGTGAGTCCCAGTTTCGAAGAGTGGGCTGCAGAGCCAAGGTTTTCTCCAAGACCAGAGCGTAGGAGTATCATTCATTAGTGACAGATGCCAAACCCTGAGTAGAAAGTTCCACCTTCCCTCATTTCCCTGACTCACCTTATGCCTCATGGACTAGCAAATGGGCTGTTTCGTAATAACCTGTGACCCATTTTTCTCCTTCTGCCACCTTGTCTGGCACGACCACCCCTCTAATGTGACTTTAGGTTCCCGGAAAAGTGTTCAAACCTTAAAACTGCTACCCCTTCCATTTTGTAGCTGCTGGATCAGTGCCTGGCACCAGACACTTCTGGGGACGGTACAGGGTGTGACAACATGACCTGCATCATCATTTGCTTCAAGCCCCGAAACACAGCAGAGCGTCAGCCAGAGAGTGGCAAGCGGAAACTGGAGGAGGTGCTTTCTACTGAGGAGGCTGAAGAAAATGGCAGCAGTGACAACAAGAAGGCCAAGCGGGACTAGCGGACTTGGTTGTCCAGACGCCTGCCCCCGAGACTGTTTCCTGAGCCCTCCGGACTGAGACTGAGTTTTGTCTTTTTCCTTTAGCCTTAGCAGTGGTTGTGAGGTGTGCAGGGGGAACTGGGTGGCTTTACTCAGCCCATTCCAAAGAGGGCTCACCCTCTACACAGCAGCCCGGGAGCCGCTGCTGCTCTCCCCAGCCTCCTCTTTGCTCCTTGGGGCTCATCACTGGTTCTGTGCCTGTGCTCTGTTGTGTTGGAGGGAAGGACTGGAGGTTCTGGTTTTTACTCTGTGAACTTTATTTAAGGACATTCTTTTTTATTGGCGGCTCCATGGCCCCGGCCGCTTGCACCCGCTCTCTGTTGTACACTTTCAATCAAACACTTTTTCAGACTAAAGGCCAAAACCTAATCAAACCCAGTGTCCTTTTTTCTTTGCTGCCTGTCCATCCTGTCCTGGTCACCCAGGTTGCCTGGGCACTTCAGGCTTGACTCTATCAGTAGTATCATCTACCTAGCCATTGGGGTGGGGGATGGGGTGTCCGTGTGGGTCCGACCCACGCGAGCCTGCGTGTCCAGTAGAGGGGGCCCAAGTATTCGCTCCATGAGTTACTGGCAGGCTGGCCTTGTCGCTACTCATCCTCACCCCCTTGCGGAGTCAGGAATAATCTCCTCCAGGGAGGGATCAGGACTGCCAGGCGGCCTTGCCAGCCGTCTTCTATCAGATCTCTGATTGGCTTTCTCCCTTCCTTTCGTCACAATCACTTCCTGGTCACGCTGCGAAAGCCCTGCTGCCTCTGCTTCCCACGGACGGGACTACGTGTCCCGTGCGGCTCTGCGGTAGCGGAAGCGGAAGCGAGCACGGAGGTACCAGCTGGTCTCCGTAGGGGGGGGTAGGGGGCTCCATGAATGGACGCGGCGGTG